ATGAAGGATATTATCTGTAGCTGTTTTAAAATATATAATTGCCTCATAGAATGAGAACTGACCTTCTATTTTCTGGAAGTTCACACCAGTGATTTATCATTTTTTCCTTAAATGTTTGATAAAATCCACTTGAATGTGGGCTTTTCTTTGTGGGTATATTTTTAAAAAATACAAATTCTTAATTGTATATTATAAGTTGAATTGTGTCACTCATAAAGATAGGATGAGACCCCGCAGATACTTTTCAGGTGAAGCCCATTTGCATCTCTGTCTCTTTCCACCCTCCTAGCTGGGATACAGTCCCCAGACTACCAGTGCCACCTCCATAGGAAGGATTCATGTTTAACTAAATGGGTCTTTCTTCCTCAGCATTAAGGTCATATATTCCTTCCTCAAAATGCAAGACCTCCCATCCTCCTCTGCCATCTGGGCACTAGGAGGAGCCTGACTACAAACAGGAACTCCCTTATTCTTCTGAAACCTGCATGGGACCCACCCTCCACTCTCCCTCATATGTGGTGATGATATATTGTGACTTATTAAAGTTTTCCTGAGGATTCCAAAGAGCAAAGCAGCCAGCCAGCTTGCCTGAGGATTCAGAAAGCAAAGTCAGCCTCACGCTATAGAGATCAGGCAGTAGTGTTACACATCTTTAATCCCAGTATTCAGGAGACAACGGCAGATAGGTCTTTCTGAGTTTACGGCCACATAGGGTTAAGAGACTGAATCAGTCTAAAAGAGTAACAGAGCTCATTGCCTTCAATTCCAGCAGGAGAGAGATATAAAAGATGGGGGAGCAGGGTCTTCAGGAGTCAGTCTCACGATTGGTCTCTAGCCATGTTGAGGAGAAGATGGCAGTCTGAGTGAATATGAGGAGCAGTGAAGTCAGGAGCAGTATGAGGATCGTCCCTTTGGTGAGAGCTGGTGGCTGGCCACTTTGCTTTTCTGATCTTCAGATTGAAGCTTGAACCCCAATTTCTGTCTCTGAGTCATTTACTTCTCATGTTACACTCATGAGCCTGAACTCTCCTCAGAGCCTCCACCATGTTGTCTCCTCATGGCATTTACAAAGCTTATAATACATTTTTTACCCCAAAGAACATTTTGCCTTAATGCCCCTCTTGATCCACATACCCAAGACCATACACTCAGGGTGTTTAATTTAAAATCAGGAACACTGCAAGTGTAATGTTTGGATGAGGCCACAGTGAGAAAAACTGGCTCTTTCAACCTTGAGACTGATAGTGTGTGTGTGTGTGTGTGTGTGTGTGTGTGTGTGTGTGTGTGTGTGTGTGTGTGTAAAAGCTTCTGGGGGAGCACCATGTCTTAACACGGGCAGACTCACAAGTGTTGCCTTGAAGACCAAGGAAAGACTAAAGTTTGCTGAAAATATCAGAAGCAAGAAAGAGGCGAGGATTTTCTCTCCAGGTTTCAGAGCCAGTGTGGTCCAGTCAACATTTTAATCGAAGACTTGCAGCCTTTAGAATTGTGAGAAAATAATCAGCTGATGTTTTAGGTCACCCAGATCCTGGTACTTTTCTTCTTTATTTTTCTTTTTAAATGCCAATCCTAGACAATAAAATCCTTTTAGATATTTACTTCTTGAGCAAGTTTTGACAGTTTGTATCTAAGACCTTGTCAAGTTTACTTGCAACAGCTACATTATTAACATAAATTTATACATAGTTTCCTGTAATCTAAATTTCTGTAGAGTGGGTTGTGTGATATGCTCATTTTCATGCCTAATTTGGGGCATTTGTATCTTTTTCTTTTTTCTTTCTTTTTTTTTCCTTTTTGTAAATCAAATAGTCTTTTTAAAAAGTCAGCTTTTAATTTTTATTGATTTTTCTCTATTTTTTCTGTGCATTAATTCCTCATTTATGTGTGTGTGTGTGTGTTGTGCTTTTCTTATTTTGTCATAAAGCCAAACTATTGAGGCCCTTTCCCAAGGCAGTGCCTTTCAGATAATTGTTTCAGATGGAACTGGGAAATTTCAATGTTTTCTTTTTGTTCAGATAAAACTACTTTCTAATTTTCTTTGCCTTTTTAACCATTGAGTAATTTAACTTCCCAATATAGTTCTATTGTGTATTCCTAATTTATTTTCATTGTTACTAGAGAGGATACCCTGTATGATCCCATTCATTTTAAATTTATTCACACCTGTTTTATGACCCACCATATGGGGCTATCCAGGAAAACAGACACTTGATAAATGAGTATAAATTCTGCTGTTATTAAGTAGAGTGGTCTGCACTTACCATTTGTGTTAAGTGTTTTTACAGCTTCTATATACTTAATGGTTTTTGGTTTAATTTCCTACCCATTAATGAGAGTATTGAAATATCAGGCTTTTGCTGTCTGCCTCTCTATTCTATTCTCCCCCACTCCCTTTTTGCAGCTGCTGAGCAGACACTCTATCATTGGGCTTTAGCCTAACCTCCCAATTCTACCAATTATATTTTTGGGTATATGGACGTTTACAGTTCTTGGATCGTCTTAATGTGTTGGCTGTCTTACCACAGTGAAATCTTTTTGCCTCTATGAAGCCTTAATTTCCTTAAAGTCTATTTTCTGTGGCATTAATAAGTGTCTTAGGGTTACTCTGTGTGTGTGTGTGTGTATAGTCTGCTGTTAAGTACTGACAGTCTTATCATAACACACCATCCGATTTTACCCTGTTACAATTCATAGTTGAATCATTTAATTTGTAAGCTGTTTCCTAAGAAGGATGATATCCATTCCATAATCACCTTTACCCATTTTTAAAAACAGTTTTGGGTGCAATATATTCATTAGAAGCAGTAAGAGATAAAAACAAAACTCCTTTACCATATAATCCAAGTTTTGGTTCATGGTGTTATTGCTGGCATCTTTTTACCTTTGGGGTGGATTCTGAAAGGTGGGGTTGTCTGTCTTCCCGCTATTTCCCACCTGATTGTGAACTGACAAAGGAGGTAAATCCCAGCTCCCATTTCAATGTAAGCACTAAATTTTAGGGACGCTAGTTTTAGTCAAATGGCTAATTCTAAGAATTGTTGCCCATCCATCGAGACTTAGATACCACTCAAACTACCTCTTAGACTGTAAACACATGTCATATATTAAATTGAATGTGCATATTGTTATCTGACAAAACACTTTTGAGCTCTTAAAAATCATTATTTTACAAGGTAATGCAACAGCTATGTGTTTTTTTAATGTTAAAAGACGTATTCTGGTATCGAATATTTAGTATTTTTAAGCCTTGTTAACTTGTAAAAACTTTACTGACTGTCCCTCTGTTAAAATTTAGGCTAGAAAATTATTACCCGGGTTGACACCTTTCAAGTTAGAAGGGATTCTGGCATGACACAGTAGGCTCATCTTACCTAGAACTTAAGTCTAGACTGCTCAACAAATCATTTCACACAGATGAACGACCTTCACTTTGAGACAGGTTCTCATGTGGTTCATGGTAGACTCAAACTTGCAATGAATGCAGCTATGGGTGTCCTGAACTTTCCAAGTGCTGAGATTACAGGCATTTACCATCAAGTCTGGCAAAGTCATTAAAAAAAATTCTCTGTATTCTTAAGTGCCAAAGAAATATTTTTACTTATATTTTAAATAGGATAAAACTGTTTTTTTACTTACTTTTTGTTGATGTTGTTGTTGCTGTTGAGACAGGAACTCATACAGCCTAAACTGGTCTTGAAGTTATGTAGCTGAAGCTGTCCTAAAACTCCTCATTTTTCCATCTCTACTTTCAAACTGTGGCTGTTATTGGTGTGTATCACCATATCCTGCTCCCCTAAGTACACTCCTAACTCCTATCTACAGTTGTAGCTTTTTTTTTTTTTTTGAGATTACTGATTTGAAATTTGATCTGTGGTTCTTTTAAAGTCACTACTGCATTTAATGACAAAATCAATGTAAATATAGAAAGGTGTTGAGGGTGACAGAGAATAAGTATATTAATAGGATGGATGCATTATGACTGATCAGAAGGAAAAATAGGAAGTCCCCTCAATTTGAGAAATTTTGCTTACTTTTTCTAAGGAGATACATTTCTATATACAATGTACTTCCCCTTATTCACTGGGATTTCTGTTCCCAGGGATGCAGTTTTTCATTATCTGTCTTAGACCAACATACTCTTTTACCTTAAAAGGGTTAAATTATAAGATTCAAGAGTTCATCCCTGGAGTTGCTAATAATTTTTCCATTTGAAAAAGTCTCAAATATACCTCCTATAAATAAGCCAGATTTCCACTTAAATTCCATCCCCAATATAAACATTTCTAGGAAGAGTTCTTCTATTATATAATGATAGAAGACAAGTTTAAACTGCTGCTAAAACCTTTGGTTAGTCAACAAAGGGCTACCTGCACCGACTTGCGCCCTGAAAAGTGGAACTTTCCTCCAATTACTAGAAAAATTAATGCCAAAGACCGTTTACTTGTATGAAACTAATGAAGCATTGTCTTTAGCTGAAGCTGTCCTACACTGCCCAGGAATGCTGTTCCACACTAGAAGCAGAAAAGAAAACTGCATCATCTGACTAAAGACTCATATACCATGTACCTCAACCCTTTAAAGCAGGAAAAAGGCAAAGCAGTGCAGCCTCGGATCTGAGCTTGGGAACTGAAATGTACACCATGGCCTTGTTTCGCAGGCCTACTTTCTGGACATAAGCAGCTCCCTGGAGTCCTTCATAGAGCAGGCAGTGACTCCATGACTTCACAGGCTGCACTGGGCAAGGAAGCAACTTCCTTGAGGAGCTGGCCATTGGCGGGGCTATTGCACTGTGCTCGTGGTAAGTGGTCACTAGTTACTTTGGCCGTGAAGGGACACTGAGGGGCTGAGCTGCATCACCCCAAAGTATCAGCCCAGGGAGCCTGAGAAAAGGCGAACGCAGCACTGAGCATGCGCTTCTTTCCCCCGGCTGCCGGAAGTGGAGCTCCCGGAATCGGTGTCCGTGCGGGATGTGGAACCTCGATATTCGGAGTCCTAACGTGATGACGCGTGTACGCGGGAATACGTGAGGACGCAGGCGGGTCTTAGAGAGAGTGAGTTTCCGCATCTGTTCGGTTGAGTTTGTGGCGTCGCTTTTGTGCGGCGTGTGTCGTGGCTTTCCCGAACCGCAGATGGAGGGGCCGGGGCTGAGATCAGGGCTGGCGCGGTCCGGGCGGAAGTGCTGCTTTGGGGCCAGGGTCCGCCGGGCGGAAGCGCTGCTTTGGGACCGGGCGGGAGGTCTGATCCGGCTGGGCCGGTGCGGGTCTTCACACTCCTCAGGCTGGGGCCCTGGGGTAAACGGCACGGTTCAGTCTCATCCCGATCACTTTCCCGGGCTTATAGAAGCCCTGGCTTCCCGATGGGCTTTTGATAGAGTCCTCTGATGTCAGGAAGTTTGAGGCGAAATTGCATCACTCACAAAGCTTGCAGTGGCAGGTGTTTGGGGAGACCGCTGCTTCCGTCTCAATATGCAGACCCGTACTAATTTATAGGGGACAGAAATACACCCTAAGGACCCATCTCTTTTCTGCCCCACAAAAAAACTCATATCGTATGATTTTCTGTTGTCCCAAACTAGGCATTAGTTATTTTTTTAAGCTGTTAACATCTAGTTATTGAACAGTTAAGACTCAGTTGTCAGTCTGTTTTCAAGTCTCACTAGATTCGTGACTCCCACTTTTTTTTTTTTTTTTAAATGTGTGGAGTGTCTAGTTATCATCCCTCTCTATTTTTTTATTGTAAAATCCTAACCTCCTTTACCTTCTTCCTGCTTCTGTTACTGATTCTGCTTCCGCTCTTCTAGTGTTCTGACTCATTCCAGGAAGAGCAGAAAATAGTCATGCTTTGGCCCCGGAGTTGTCCCATTATTAGCATCTTCTGGGAAGTTATTGACAATGCAGATTTTAGTGTCATAGCCTTTGAGCAAGCCTTCCGTTCCATTCCATTCTGGGTGCTATATTTAAAGAATAACATAGCCATAAAAAGTGCTTGCTGTGGAGACACAGATGATGTCTGAAGATGAAGTCACTTAACTGTGACTTCATAGTGCTAAGCATTCCATGTGAAAACATTAATTCCATGTGAAAGCATTAATGTTATGCTCCTCAAAAGTCAGACATTACTAAGTTACTAGACCTGGATGAAGAAAGCCTATAGGTTGTGGAGGAAGGGCAAATTGTAGGGTTAGCTAGAAGTCTGAGTTGTGGATATTGTGACTGCTGCATAGAGGGTACTTTTATCCTAGTCACCTTCTGAATAGTGAAAATGTAGACACAGGACAACTTTTTAGCTTCATGTGGTGGCTCACACGTGTAATTCAGTGCTCTGGAGGGGGAGGCAGGAGAAATCACAAGTTGGAGTACAGCCTGGTATATATACATAATGAGACCTTATGCAAAAAATCAAAACAAAACCAGGAAGTTACAGCAGTAGGTACTGATACTAGTCTTATTTACAATGTGGCGTTTTGGAAAATGAACTGATAGTAATGGTGCTAAGGTAATTTAGCTTTATTTGGCCTTCTTTCTGTTTAGTTATACCAAAGGATGGCCCAGAGTTTGGTAAAGGTCAGAACAGAGTTGAAAAGAGGCATAGAGGAGTGGCTAGCACCCCAAAGCCAAAGCTGGTGATGTTCCTGTCCTTATCTCTTGCCCTCATATGTGGTCACAGCAAAGACTGTTGTTCTTTGCTGTGGATTGTTGTCCACTTATTTGAAGGATCACAGTTAAGTTAGACATGGTCTCACCCTGAACATTTTCTTCAAATTGTTACATGTGGTATTTCTAAGAACTTTCCTCTCTCCAAGGGTCCACCTAGGGGAACAAAGAATCCTTCAGGATTTGAAGCAGCTGCCCTAGAGCCTAGGCTTGTTAGTGTTGAGAAGTGCCAGTGACTAACTATGGCCTGTGTAACACATGGCTTTGCCTGGAGAGCAGCAGTACTCAGGCCATGCTGAGACTCGGGAAACCATGGGGAGTACATTTGCATGTAAATATGCTGCCTGTGAGACCAGTTTCTATCAGTGATAGTTAACTCACCACCAAAGTGATGCTGCCCATCAGGAAACAATTGTTTTTCAAAGGCTCCAAATGAAGATGTGTAGGGGCAGTTCTGAGTCAGACCAACCCTGCTTGAATCCTGCCTCCCCCACCCTCCCCGCACAAATTAGCATCTTTCCAGTTTGAATCTCTCTCCCTGTAAAGTGGAAGTCTTAGCGACATCTGTGGCTCCTAAGTTAGATGAGATGATGTGTTAGATATTATTTGTTACTGTGTTATGTGGTAGGCAGTGTCTCTTGTTGAAAGGTTGAAAGAAATGATTATCAGTGCAATTTGGACTGCCCTGTTTATTTCCTAATCATCTTTTACACACGAGGTCATTTTATAACCTGGTCCCTGCTCTTTTGAAGTGATGAAGATGCTGAAGTGAGTCAAGATTTCATGATACTCTGTGAGAGGGGAAACACTTGGAGAAAGTTATAGCTTAGTTTGGTAGAAAACCATTGGTTGTTTCATAATCAGTGATTTCTAGACATTGTTTTTATCATTTCCAGAAGATTAGAAATAGTTAACATCAAAATATCATTCATTATCGTTTAACAGATTTCTTTGGATACAGATAGCCCTGGCATATGATGCTATTTATGTTTTAGAAGATGATACCTGTGCAAATAAATGCATAAAATTATTATCCATGAGATAATTGCTATTTTTCAATATGTATGCTTTACCTAGAACACTGGTCTGATACTTTTTTTTTTAATATATAATAGTAGGATTTGCTGATGGTCTGCTACTTTTTAAAAAAAAAGTACAAAGTCTATGTTTTCTGTGTGTTTTTACACAGCTATGAATGTATATCTGTGGAACTTACTTAGAGGCATTTATGGTGGGCCAAACTTTTGTTTACTTTGTAGAGTACTATGTAAGGGTAAGGACCAAAATATAAAAACAAATAATCTACACACTTACATCTATATACACATTAAAACTTTGAAGATTTTTTTTAAATGTACTTTAATGCAGTCATCATTCCATATGAGCAGGGATTCTCAGTTTTTTGTTTATTTTGTTTTAACTTGGGGCCTCTTAAGCAGAAATTTACACAGAAAGTTCAAGTGTCAAAGGCTCTAAGATTTGTGATGTTGGAGGAAACAGGCTCCTGATCCAGAACATGTCTAGAGAACTGGATTCTGGGATTGTGTATGAATCACTATGAGTGGCATAGCTCTGAGGGTGAGCTGTACCTAAAACTATGACGCTAAGAATTCAGGTGCTTAGAATCCTTAAACAGGTCCTGCAGAGTTGCTAGATTTGTCTCCAGGGCGAGCATCTGTCTGAGTTCTCATATAGAGAGGCATGTGTGATTATTTAAAAACAGCAACAACAAATCCAAAACAAATACAGTGTTCAGTATGACCCATATTTTACACAACTAGGATTCTATGCAGAAAAACCACCACCAACAAACCCATAGCTTTCTAATAATCCCTCTTACAATGTGACAGCTGTATCAGTATTAAGAGCTCCTTACTATTTTAAGTGTTGTTCTTATCATAAGTGACTGGGGAAGAGACACAATGAGGCAAAAGAAGTATACAGCATTACTTGTGTACACAGGCCAGTGTTTTTGTTGTATGATAATATCTAGTTTTCATTCATACGGCAAAGTAGTTTTGTTTTTGTTTTTCTTAATAATGACTCCCCATAAAAGTAATTTTCAAACCTACCCATTTGTTAGCTTGTTATTAGTAATGGTAGTAGTAATACTGTCCTTTTCACACATTGAGAGGGGTTTCCTGGTGACAGCTGGGGAGTGGGGGAAGGGAGTCACTTTCAGTCAACCAGCTGCTCCTCGAAGCATCGTGATGGTGATATTTCAAAGCTGGTGGTTAATTCTGGCTGTATTCAGAAAAGAAAATGTGTCATATTTCTGGGATGCAATAGATAGTGTGCAAAAGCCCTTTGGGATCTAGATGATAGCCAACTGACAGCGTGTGCATTCAGGCTTGCATGTCGGTGTTATTTACCATCTAGTTTCTTGGACATTGTTACATGCACATCATAATTACAAAGCAATAAAGTCCAGTTCCGTGGGGAGAAAGTCTCATTACTTTATGGACAGGAAGGGAAAATGAAAACCCAACGTCAGTGGTGTACTACAAGCTTTTATGTGGTATGCTGTTTCATCTGTCTTCTCCGTGGCTTTAGGAAGAGGGATTTTCTTTATCCAGCACATAAAGACCCAAGACGTTTAGCAGGAATGAGGACATGGTGTATCTAAGGTTACACACCATATTTGACCCCTTCTGACTTTAACTTCAGGGATATTACACCATCAGCAGTTTCACCAGGGTGCTAAATGACTTATGTTTTTTAAACCAGAGCCACAATATGAGGCTAGCAATGAATGAAATTTATAGATGTATTATAGTGACTTCGGGCTTGCAAGTAATATGTAATGTGTGTGCATGTTGTAACTATTCATAATTCTGGAATTTTCCCCCATTGAACAAAGTATTTTGAGCAACACTGAAACTTTGACACCTTTCAGCAACTTTGTAATTTTATGTGTTGTAATGAATGAATTGTGGTTCAAAATTTGAGCCATTATAGAAAGACAACATACTGCCACATAGTCTCTTCCCACTATTCTTTAAATGGGAACCAATAGGCTTTCCTTCCTGTCAAGGCATGCTAATTTTGTATTAATAAAGAGCCTTAGCCTTCTAAATTTCCATCCTGAAAAGTCCTTTAAATTTTGTGAGTTGGTTTTACTGTTTTGGTGAGTTTTGGGAGTCATTTCATCTTCTTTCTCATGGTGTAAGGACAATGCTTATCCTAGTGTCCGGGCCATAGAAAACCTTAAAGCTTGTTCTGCTCTTTTCTCTGTGTGGGTGCACACGTATGTGCAGTTTTGAAGTACTTCTTCATCATGTGCTAATGCTGCTGTCAGTAGCGTTGCCTTTCTAAGCTGTGACTTCCTCAAAGGACCAGTTTGTCCAACAGAGGAGTATAGACTGATACAGTCATGTTCTTCATGTGCTTTCAGACAC